TGAGCCCAAACTGCACCAACCAAGCATATGGCTAAAAATAAAGAGGAACGACCGTTTATCATTTAATATTCATACATGGCTAGACAAAGTTTGTCCGATTCCAGCCAATCCGAACAGAGTATTTCTGAATGACAGCACTGCGTGAGATAATCAATTACGCATTTGTTGTGCATGGTTACCAAGGTGAGGAGATGTCTTGATATTTTGCCAATACTTGACACTTCCAAAAAGTTTCATTGAAAATATGTTCTTTTAGTGATTTTGTATCTTTTAGGTGATTTTATAGAGAACATTTTGCAACGTGTGAAAATAATTAAGCGACTCAATGCATTGTAGCTGCTTTATTCCAGCCAGGCGTTGTTTCCTTAACTTTTCATTCCCGCTATGCGATCATGCAAAGATTTGGAAACAACAATTTCATGGCAAGATTCAGCAAACAATGCACTGAGTCGAAAATCCTTAATAATTAGTAAATTCACAAAATTTAACCGTTGAAAAGATCAATGGATTTCTAATTTAGTTAACGTCTTGTTCTTCTGAATACACTAAACTTACAACTGCTCCCCAATCTAAATGTGATATTTAATTTTGGTTGATTGTGTAATGATTTTACAAAGGCTTTCCTAAGCATTACTCCATTTTAAAATAACGTTTAACGTTTTTGTTGAATTAAACAGACTACATATAGGTACTGGTAGCCCATTTTACAGGTAAAGGTGCGTGTAGCCCAGATACAATTAAAATATATCACCAAAATTTCTTAATTATACAAATGGTTTCTTACCTAAAAACAACACACCGGTACACCTCATCATGGTTATTGAGCATTAATTGAAATTGAGATTCAAAAAGCAGATGTATAAGTTACCACGGTGTAGAAAGCGATTGAGTAATATAAAACAGAAGGTGAAGTGCCGCCCCATATTTATAATAAAAAACTAGATACGACCAAAGATAAGATAACTAAGTACATTTCGTATTTTCGAACAACACCTTTCAGTTGGCAAAGAGGCAAACAGCAAAATAATTAATTATATCGGACTATGAAGCGGAAGTCCAAGGCCTTTTAAGTATCTAAGTTGAATTTAACGTTTAATAGTGACGTTTTGATAGAAAAATGGTCAGATCAGCTCTAATAAGCAATAAATAAAAAGCAATCATTTGTTTACCTCTTGTTGGGTTTCTTTAAAGTTTTTAGTCACCCTTCCCTTTGGCATTTGTGCTTATATATTCTTAGCTTCAAAATAAGAGGCTTGTTGTTGAAAAGGCGGTAACCATTTGGAGCCTTCACTTCAAGTTTGTAGGCAGCATATCTACCATTTATGTTTCAACCCAGGAAGGGCGAGAAACAGAAATCCAAAGGGTGGATGTTTACAAATTAGATTTATGCTCCCAATGTATGTATTAAGACTTACGGCAAAATGATGTAAATTCCATCAGGAATAGTCCATTTTATAATCTAGTCCAGTCCAATATCAAATATGTGATTTAAGATGCATTGTGTAAATGTTTTTGAATATCGAAGATTTGTATGTCATGAGCTCACACAAGTTCGAAATTGAGACAGTGAAAGGTAAATATAATCTTTAAATATTCAATTAATATAATAAATTTGTTTATGTTCAATTTAAAACGCTTGCCTGATGAAAATATATACCAAATATTCCATTCTATTGAGGTGAATACATGTTCATCTTTCCCTCAGTATATTTCCCGCAGCCCGAAGGGCTGATAAAAGTTTATGCGTTTCTAAAAATGGCCACCAGATATAAAACAAATATGATATCTTCACATCTGAACATCCTACACTGATAGGATTGGTGTCACAATTTTATATTTATGGGAAGAATCAATTATAATAGATTCAAGATAATAGTTTTCGCTCTATATTGGAAATATACACATCTAAAAATCTAACAAAGATTGTATCTTTGCTAACAAAGATTGTATCTTTGCTAACAAAGATTGTATCTTTGCTAACAAAGATTGTATCTTTGCTAACAAAGATTGTATCTTTGCTGACAAAGATTGTATCTTTGCTGACAAAGATTGTATCTTTGCTAACAAAGATTGTATCTTTGCTAACAAAGATTGTATCTTTGCTAACAAAGATTGTATCTTTGCTAACAAAGATTGTATCTTTGCTGACAAAGATTGTATCTTTGCTGACAAAGATTGTATCTTTGCTAACAAAGATTGTATCTTTGCTAACAAAGATTGTATCTTTGCTAACAAAGATTGTATCTTTGCTAACAAAGATTGTATCATTGCTAAAAAAATTGTATCTTTGCTAAACCTTTTTGTTGCTTCTGGGTATAACATTTCATAAAATTGGCTATAGAATCTACATTTTTGGGAGTGTAAAATCTATTTCATTGGATTAATATGAGTCTTAAAAAAATTATCTTCGCCTTAACAGAGCAAAATTGTATTTAACCTTCAATGTTATTTTAACTCAGATTCAACAGAAATACCAGAATCTCTCTAATAACATAAATAAGAGAGAAATGTGATAGATAGAAACCATCCGGGACAAACATACATACGTACCTGTGGTTAGAAAGGGCAGAAACCTTCTGGTTAGAGAAAATCTCAAGGGCAACAAATTATGACAGTATTGCAGAACTCTCTTTATCTCCTCTGACAAAATCAATGATAGTACCGCTGTTTACCGAGTATTCCACTAATCCCGACTTAGCATGTAAAAAGGTCCCTAGCCAATTAACCAACTGTTAAGTTTGTTGTTGATTGGCAACCATTTTGAAAAATGCCTATTGTACACATACAGCACTGACTATAGTCATATTGAGAAAAATATTCTTATTTTATCGTTTGAATATTTAAGAGATTAAGATTTTAAGATTTTAACGGCAATATATTTCACCATGAATACTTTCTGGCCAAAAATACAGTGTTTTTTTATTAATACAATGTGTTTTCTTTTAAGTGAAGTCCGAATGATTGTAAAATATCAATCCAGCTTTCTGGAAAAGTATGGATTAGGATCCCACCTTGGCACTTTTATAAATGTTAAGTTTATTTTGTAAAACGTTGATATTGCTTTTTCTCAATTAGAACAATTCAAAAGTTTGAAATGTGCTGAGTTAAAAACCACATCTCCCATGCTAACTAACTCCTGGTCTAGGACATTTTGAATTTTCTGAGGAACGAATCATAAAAATTACACCATCTTCAATTTAATTGAGTATAATATAGCCATACTTTGAAGGAATTTGAAAATAATTGCAAAATTATACATAAGACACACGATGAGCTGACAGGCGGATTGACTGACGGACGGAGGGCTTCACTATATCCCCACTGAACTTTCTTCGTTGGGATGATAAATACTAGAAACCTTATCAAATGTATTCTACCACCCCATTAGTGTATACTTGGACATCAATCTCACTTTTGTAGCGTGCATACAAGTGAATATATCATTTTTGTTACATCTCTGGCAGCCATTTTAAAAGGCATATTTTTATAAAGAGGAAGTTCCTAATTTTCAAGACGCAAGCCCCTACTAAATGGATTCTTCAACAACAAAAGTGTAGATTTAGCAACAATCATATCATTATAGCATGCATAGAAGCAAAGATATTGTCTCCGTTGTATATTTGGCGGCCATTTTGAAAAATGTGAATATTTCAAATATAAAGCGCCATCTGACATGTGTCTTTGGATAAATTTGTTTCTATGGTCCTAAGGTACTTGCATGTCAAAGAAAATATTTGCATCATATATTGAAGTTCAGACCCCCTAAAATGCAGTTAATTAACCCACCTACCAGTGGTTTATTCGTTGTGCCTGATTGTGTTCTGATGGGTTGGTTTAATCGATTGAGTATTTGGTTGAGCCTGGTTGTGTAATGGTGGGTTACTGTCAGGTATAGGTATAGGTTTCAACTGAATTGTGTTGTGTCAGTTTGAGAGTCGGTTGTCTTTTGATGGTTGTAGGTCTGGTGGTTTAGCATCGGGTTGTGCCCCTTTGGTTATGTTAATTTTATAATGGGCTGTGTTCTATTGTGAATGTGTTATGTTGGTTCCAGGTAGCTGGTTGTGGCTAGTCAGGAGAGGTATCTGGTTGTGTCTGATTGTGTTATGTGATTGTCGTTGTCTCCAATTGGAGTAAGTTAGTTGTGTATATTGGTATTACAGTTTGGTTGTGTTTTATTGCTTTTGTCTGATTTTGTTTTGATTGTTTGGTTTTGGAAAATTGTTTTGTGTTTCTTGAACAATGGATTGTGATTGCTTTTGTTGGTTCATCATCAAGTTGAGCCAAATTATGTGGTCTTGATTTTACAGTTCGTTGTGTTTTCGACGGTTGGGTTATGTTCTATTGTACAGTTGTATGATTGGTGATCTAGGTTGTGTTTGCATGGTTAATAAATATGTCGAGTTGCGGGCTGTGCCCGATCGGGTTATGGAGTATTATTGGGTTAAGATACAAACATTTATTATTTCAATATTGGTATATCAGTTGATTTTGGGTTGAATCAAAGGGTATAATAACATATCTGTGCACATTATCGGGATGCTATAGGTTTGGTACCTACCTGTATTCAAAAATAGTGCAATCTCTGATGAGGTTGTCTCTTGTTGTTCAATGAATCCCAGAAAAGCAATGCCAATATATCTTTTTACATAATGTATTTTTCGTTGATTTTCCATACAAAACAGGAGAATGTACTTTTATTGCATAAATTATATATTTGTGTCACTTTCTATGGATTAAACTCAATCGACATACGTTTTTAAATCAATGAAAGAGCGTGACATATAATTTGATCGGTAAGATATAGGTCAAAACACTGTATTGTCGTGTGGAGCTAATTCCTTTGAAATAGCCTGAGTCTATCTTGGGATAAAAGTGCGTCAGTGAAATGCAATGAGTTGAAAATTCGAAGACAAATGTAACGAGATACGGCCGGATGCGGATACGTTTTAGCTAACCCGTTGTGCGACACCTCTCTATTATTGAGTATTGACTGTAATATATTTTTTTAAATTTTATTCATCTCATGTACTTAAATAAACTACATAAAATAACGAAATGTCCCATTAGTAATCTGCATATAGTCTAACGATGGATTCTCCTTGTTGGGAGAAAGCAACATCTATGCGTTCGTGGAAGGCACAGTTCCAGGCGTAAATCTTTTCGTCCTGTGCACTGTAACTCACCCGGGAATAGAATGAGTTGACATTTGTATTACCAACCATACACGACCTATCCACGGTAGGGAAAGGTATATCCAGAGGGCCTAGATTTGCATCTGTGTTAAAGGCAAAGTCATATGTATAGCGAATATAATTGTTGTTGGACCCAGAGAAGTCTCCATAACTGGCTTGGACAACGTAAAGAATTCCGCAAGCGATGAACGCATTTCCAGCTAAGACTTTATCATAGTTGGTCGATTGAGTGTCGGTTAAATTGAATTCATCGTCGAATTTCGAAACTGTTATTTTATTGAATGTGGCATCACTGGAATAGATTACCCATAGACCATACTCGTCAACAGCAAAGTCAATAAATGCCCCGGAACCCCACGAAGAATCTCCGTCCGTGAACGCCTTGTATCCCCAGTCGTATTCATCAACAGCTGAAACGCCCACGCCAACAAGCTCTTTGATTTCACTGGCGCCTGTGTCGATACCATAGCGGAGCATGTTTCTTGTTGCATAAATATTGCAATAGAGGTCGCCCTTGTAGACCACGTGACCAGTTCCTGCACAATTGAACGGAAGTGTGATAATTCTGCCGATGACGCCATTTGTGTAGTCTAACTCATTGGCAAACTCCAGAAGTTCCGCGCTGTTGATACCATTAATAAGCCATACACGAACCCCATCAGCAAGGACATAATCGTCTTTCATCCAGGCGCCCCAAATCATACCGAACTGGGCGTAGGTGGACGTTCGAGTGAAGTTAGACACAGTTCTTGGGCATTCGTTTTCTAAAATAAAATGTTTATAGATATATGAATCAAAAGAGTAATTAATTTGACAACGATTTGTAAACATCCTTTATGATTGCTTTTTCCGATCACTGTGTTAAAAATTGTTTCTTTGCTCTGAACGACATCTATCAAATTATAATAAACGCATTTGCATCTTTTTTTAGACAGGACACGATTCGAGTCTCACGACTTTGCGTTATTGCGAAAGCGCCTGACTTTGTTTGTTCAGTGTTGTAGACCGCTCAATTGGTGGTCATGCGGTTTTCTTTGTCTATGCACATACGATTTATAATTATAGGGCGTGCATCCGCGGTTTTTGAACCGATTCCTGGGTTACGTTCGATGTATTTGGGCACAGCTTATGTATGCGGATGTAGCTTGATGTTTGCTATGGATATTGTTACATTTTTGCGATTTTGACTGATGGTTAACTCAATTATTTGATCGGAACTCTATATATCGTGTATCTTACAGTTGCAATGCATAAAACTAATAAAGGAGTGGTATCGATATTGTGAACTTTTTGAACACGCGATGGATGGTAACATTATAATTTGAATTATATATATACTTTTCTCTATATTGTTTTAGAAACACATAAGGCACTTCTTTGGTTCTTGGTATCATATGTTCGGAATGAAATGAAACATCTATCCGAACCTCATTGGAAGAAAACGACATAAACACAACGTGTTTAGGTCTCTCAATATTGTAATTGTACAAAGGAACGTTTGGTTGATTTTAAAAAAGTATCTCGTTAATAAAATGAAATGTTTATCTTATTTTTTATCTATTTTGGGGGGATTTGTTTTAAGTTTTTGCATACTTTTTGTTAAATCAACCGAAATTTCCTTTTTATAATAAACTATAATATTGAGAAGTCTAAGAAAATGTTGAATATGCTATTTTGTTCTAACAAGGTTCGGACAGACATTTTATTTCATTCTCAAGAATTGGTAGAAAGATACAAAAAACAATTGCACTGAAAAAAATGTTAACAAAAACAGTTATATAAAATAGATATAAATAACTTTTGCATTAAATTGTTGCCAATCAGTCAACATCACATAAAGGACGGTGTTTTTTACAGAATGTTTTCAATAATTGGTTTAAGAGAAAAACATAGTTGAATTCAGTTCACTAAATCGATACCTATCCTTTTTTATGCAGTACCTCACGTTTAGCAACCGGAACATTTCATTTGATAACACATCAAGCCGCCTGTCGATCCTTAAATATTAATTTTGTTCTTTAGCTATTACAATAGTTTGGAAATGTATGACAAATTAAATTATTTTCTATTCTATTTGCCAATTTTTTTTAGGGCAGTGTATTTAATTGTATACATACGTGTACAATTTGTCACCTCTGGCCAATTACAAATGTTCAGGACAGGGTCGAAGACCAAACCATCTGGACAAGACTGCTCGGTTCCAACGCCACCATTGCAACTGAAAAAATAGAATTGCCATTAAAACAGGCCTCGGTATATATCAGATAAATAGACTTTACATGTAAATGAAAATTCTTTGGGACTTTAAATAGTTAAAGATGAACGTAGTGGAGGGTGTTTATTTATGAATCAAAGAGCATAAAGCTGCGCTCATACCAAACTACGTTCCGGATTACCGAACGTGTTTTAAATGTATGCGGATTTGGCATGTTTAATTTACGGTCTTCACAAAGAGCTTTATCGACGTGCTTTGTCAAAAAGGTGCTTGATAAGAACTTCAGACCTGTTTAAAAATTCATGGCTCCGACCATTCCAGTTTAACCTCGTCGCGAGTTTATCAAGTTTGCATACAGAACTTATTCGACGGAACTACCAAATAAATTCAACTCGTTTTCCGTAGGTTCGTATATGAAGTATGTGTATTAATGAACCAGCATTACATTTCAGATCATTTCAACCGGACACAGGAGACTAAGGATATAAAATCACCCCATGCAGACGGATCGCATTCACATGATGCGAGACTCGACATTCACCAGGAAAGTAGAAACATTTTGTCACCAATAAAGCAAATTATTTTTCCACTGCTTAATAAATGGTCAAGGACAGTTACACTGCGTCCTATATGATAATAGCACGATGTCTTGATATTTCAAGGTAACTCATTCGAAATGTGAATTATCAAAATAACGATGTAAAGATAAAATCGTAATGATATATTTGTAGATTTCTTTGAAAAATAGAGAAATTTACATCACACATCGAATTTTTCAAATCAGAAAAAACATGTATAAAAGGTTAGGCCTGCAGGTCAGATTCCCCCTGGTAGCATTAACATTGGTCTCATACATGTCATACGATTAATATTTGACAACTATCATACGAACTTATGATCGGACATGTCCGATCGTATGATCGGGTTACCTTGAGATATCAAGACAGCGTGCTATTTTCATACTTATAGAACTTGATATGACTGTCATTCATCATTTATTAATTAAGCAGTAAAAAATTAATTTGCATCATAGGTGACAACATGTTTCCACTTTCCCGGTGAATGTCGAGTCGAACATCATACGAATGTAATTTTAGGCGATCTGTCTGCATGGGGCGAAAATCAAAACGGCAACATGCACGCATAAATCGTCCTTTACAAATACATGTAGTTTTTCTCACATAAACAATTGTTCGGTTACATTGTTTACTTAGTCCGTTACTTAGACTTCACATCATCGTGTAATATGCCATTGGTAGTTAAAGGTAGTTAAAGAATATAACAAATCCGTAGCAAACTATAGCGCATCAACATTTGAACCTATATTTAAAGAGGTGTATATGTCTTGATTTTTGAAATAAAATTTGCTGAAAAAACTTCCGGCTTTCGGGTCGACAAACGTGTTTCATCACAATGAATGTCTTCATCACAATGTTAACCAATACCGACTCTGAACTTTGTGGAATCCCCCCCTTGAATCCAAACGGAACTTACGCGCAGTACTTTGAGCAATCTGCTGGATGGGCGAAGTTACCATCAACAGGATTTCCAGTTTCGTCATTTGGGCATTGTCCAGTACAGGCGTCCTGAGCCCAAACTATTCCAACGATGCATATCGCTAAAATTAGGGGAACAATTTTGTTATCGTTATTACATTGGTTACATCATCACTGGTACATTGCCGTTAAAACATACATTTAAAAATGTATAATGTGTTTGATATGATTTTATTTTGTCTTTTCCAATAGTGTATCCTGTTGACTCATGCGATCTGCAGGGTGGTCAAATTGGAAACCCTGCATTTTCCTCATATTATTTCAATTTAAGAAAAAAGAGCACCTAAAGGTGGGCGTGGTATTTAGTTGGTTACCATAGCAACGCTGTCGCGGATTCATTATTGCCAACATCACTTTTCTTGATTAGTGACACTTCTAGTTCATAAAAACATTTGTCGCTTAGCTCGCCTCTAAAAAGGACACGGAACCTCTTATTAGGACTTTTGCCCCCACACCATCTCTGATATCTGACACATTTGTACATCATTCATTTGCATACCAACCGACCATATTTCGTGATCATCAGACGGAGTCACACTTTTTCAACACTTCGACAACATGCCCCAGGTATGGTCATCATTGTGCTGTAGGCAAACCTGAACAAGTTATCAATGGCCCAACTGCATTCCTCAGCAGGTATGGCCTGAATGCCACACATGATCTCCTTTTAGGTCTGCAATTTTTATTCTTGTATATTCTTTCGTTGGCGTATCCCCATGGGTAGGAGTTAGGATTGGGGACATTTCTGAGGACAAGTCTGTGACTATCGAGCTGATGATCTTGATAAATGGTAGGCTAGTACGGAATTAGAAAATGTACAAACGTGCTAAATATTACGAGGTACACCCCCCTCCATAAGTTTGGCAACCTTTTTCCCCCATTGAACTACGTGTTAAAGCCTCTTTACTTTTGAATTTTTATTTACTTAACCTGCGATGAAAATACTTATACTATTGATGGAAACGTAATTTGACTTTAATTCCAATACCTCCAAATTTTCTCAATTTTTTTCCTCAATTACTATAGGTCGAAAATTGATGATGAATTTGATGAATTTTTGAAAATCGACATTCCCATGTTAACCAATGGGAAATGGTAGGTTTGCCGCAAGTCATATGACAGAATATCCATCCATCTGAGTCCTTGCAAAAATACGAGTTAGGCAGGTAATTGAATTTGCTAACTTTATTTAACAAAAAATGATATGTTTCCTCAGGTTCAACAAAGTTATAGGGCTTTAAAGTCAAAATTGTTTTTCAAAAAACCTCTCCCATTGAAATAACACAGGAGGCGAAAAATATTTTTCAAAAATGACTTTGAAGCGCTGTAACTTAAAACTGTAAAAATATGGAGGTATTGGAAATAAAGTCAAGTTACGTTTCCATCAATATCATAAGTTATTTCATCGCCGGTTAAGTAAATAAAAATTCAAACATAAAGAGGCTTTAACACGTAGTTCAATGGAGAAAAAAGGTTGCCAAACTTATGGAAGGGAGTGTATGTCCTTACAATGACAAAGATATGAGGAATATAGCGGCAAGGTCTCCACTTTTGTGCACCCTGGATTACAAGTATATACATGTAGGTATATCACAAGCAGACCATTAATAAAAAACTGATACATGAATTAAATAGCCAAAGTGGGCTAAATAAAGTTATGTGTAGCCATCCGTGTTTATCTATGGTATTTTTTACCGAAATCTACCGTAAATAATTTTTTGTAACTCAATTTTCTCCATGAGAACGGCCATAAAATATACTGTTGATATTTGAAAAACTGTGTATGCTGAAATCAACACTATTTGATTCTACCGTAAAATCTACCTAGTTTATTATTTGGAAATTGTGAAAAAATTGAAATCCTCTAGAATTTCTGAATCCACTACAAACCCGAAAATAAATAGGTGTCGGCAGGTCTGTGACCGGGTTAATTGCGTGCTTATGTAAGTAAGCTAGCGTGTAATAAGTCCAAAAAACAAAAATACCACTTTGATTATTGTCATCATGCTTTTTGTAATTAAACTATACCTATTCATTCTGAATGGTCAAAAAACTCATAAATGAACATTCGTCATTGCATTGTAATTTACAGTTAAAAGTTAAATCAAGTATCATATTTTATAAGAAAGTATTGGATCATATGGCAACGGGTATCATTAACCATGTAATCGATGATATTATTTTAACACCAAATACGTGATATGTTTGTTTTATTTTTGTGAATAAATATTTTAATTTAAAAAAACTTCCCAAAAGCATAAAAATGTTTTCTTACCCCAAAATAGTACTCCAGTATAGCTCCTCATGGTTATTGAACTATGATTGAAATTGAGATTGAAAAAGCAGGTGCATAAGTTACCACGGTGTAGAAAGAGATTGAGAAATATAAAACAGAAGGTGAAATGCCGCCCCATATTTATAATAAAAATCTAGATACGACCAAAGATAAGATAACTAAGTACATTTCGTATTTTCGAACAACACCTTTCAGTTGGCAAAGAGGCAAACAACAATTGAAAGTAATTAACAGTTCTATGACGGAAGTCTAAGGCCTTCAAGTGTCTAAGTTGATTTGTACGTTTAATGGTGACGTTTTTATTGAGAATGGTCAGTTTATCTTTAATTAACAAGTACACAAAAGTGTACAACATATCCCCACCCACGGGTGATCCTGTTACCTTTTCTCTTCATTGCCCAAACAAATCAACTGAAACGACACGCATTTTGTACAGAAATCAAATATGGCTACATTTACATTAACCTAAAATGCCCCAAAACTAACCAGTTTTAGATTTTCATACAATTAAAGAATCATCCCGTGAAAAGACAGCCTGAAAATGCGTAGACAAGACTTTACAAAGATTTTTGGACGGAAATCCAAGATGGCAACCAACATTTACCCGAATGCGTAAAACCTAATCAGTTTCAGATTTGCATACAAAGAATCAGCATTGACAATTTGAGATCGATCTGTCAAATGACATAGACAAGACTTTACAGAGAAGACGTTTGGATGGAAATTCCAAAATGAACGCCTTAACATCTACCCAGAAAGCCCAAAACCTAACCTGTTTGAGATTTTCATATAAAGAATCATGGCTGGAAAGTTGAAATAGATCCGTCCAATGGTTCACCTTGAAACGAGTAAAAAAGATTTAACAAAGAAGATTTTGGATGGTAGATACGAAATAGCCATCTTACAATTTACCCAGAATGCCCGAAACCTAATTAAGTTCACCATTAGCATGCGTAATTGAAAATTTGATATCGAACTTTATACATTTTTGCTGTAAACGCATATTAGATATTTCAATACCCTAGAATCAGACTTAGAATGAAATGAGTTAAATATGTTTCGTTTTAAAAGTGAATGTAAGATCGATATTCTTTAAGTGCAAACAATAGGGTAAGGACAAGGATTTTAGCATTTGACTTAAAAATGGCTGACAGGAAGTAGATATCGAACTGAAATGTTTATATAGTAGTCCCTGAAATTTGAAGGTGATATTTGAACTACCAAATTTACAATATTGTTTGCGCTTATAAAATTCCGGGATTGATTAAGTAAGTTACTTATAATTTCAGAATGATACTTCTGGAAGTATCAAAAATGTGTAAATGGTGATTACCAATACAACAGTGGTTTTTCATCTGGACTTTGTCAACTGTTGATTTTATAAAAAAGAGTCACTCATAAGCTCCACGAACGTAGGTTTGTGTCGTATTTATGCGTAAAAAGGTAAAAAGGTTTCCACTTTTGACTATATATACATATCTCATGGGAATGTATTTCCATCTGCTCAAGATATCATATTTTAGCTTCGAAAATCAAAATCGTTGGATAATACATTTGTCTTAGAATGATAGGCCACCCTGTAGCAATGTAGCTTTCACTTGAAGTGTACCCTTGAGAATAATGAACTTACTTTCAAATTGGTCTTGCTTTTGTGGTGTATGTGGCTTTTTAGCAAATCTGCTACGCTCATGTTTTCCAGAACCATCTTGTTCAAATGTATCACTATACGCGCATGTATAGACAGATGACATAGATATACATATAAATTATATATTGCACCTGTATTTACTTACATGGGAATATATTCCCTTTGGAAAAATGCAAATGCATGAACATATATTTTCATCTTATATATGACTTCAAGCTAACATATTATTTCATATTTATATTTTCCTAGTTAGTTTAACATGAATAATAGATCCATGAGAACAATATTCTTTGTTTTTTTAATTCATGGGTTTACTGTGAATTCAATAAATTACAATTTGCAAGGGGTAAGTATACTGTATGAGCTAGCTAGTGGCTTTGTATTTTATGTTAGGCCAGGGTAATTAAATTAGTTGTTTCTCTTTCTTCTATTTTTCAAAATTTATACGGGAATGACGGTTTTTATATTACCTTTTTTGTCTATCTAAAATGCTGATGAGGGACGGGATGATTTTTTTCTTTAAAATAACTGTAAAAACAAATAACTAATTTTGAAGGAAATAAACTGAGTTTATGTTGAATTTATATGTTGAATTTAGCCTACTTTACTGGTATATTTGATCATATATCAGTACCACGATATTGTCAATTATCCTGATCCATAAAAAAGTGTTTCACACGCCATGGATGCGCGCCAGGGACGGTGTTTTTTTCTCAGAAATGGCAGAGAAATGATGGATGGGGATTGGGCCAAACGCGGGCAAGAATGAGAAACAACTAATTTAATTACCCTAACCTTAGTTCATCCAGTAGTACGTTTTTACTGCAAAGTAGTGTTTTTATATGCAGCTTAATAGCATAAAATATGTTGAATGAAGCATATGGTGTGGATTAGTCGTGTGACACACAAACTGACCGATACATGAGGGTATTAGCTACTTTTCACTTAAACCAAAGGAGGACAGTGCTTTTATTTCAACTGGGAGCTTACCTCCACACGACTGATCATGTGACCATGGTTGTGCTCCCCTTTAAAGTGTGTATGCGTGTAACACATACATAAAACAACATCAAACAAGACAGGTACAAGTGGTGTATGTTATTCAATTATATTAGTTGACACATGCTATTCACTGACCTGTTGATTCAGTAATATAAAATAATTTGTAAACTTTTGTTAATGCGTTCAATCGATGAAATTGAAAAATTCAGAATATGAATTGTATCGTGCTAACCGCATAACATCTTTTGGGTCAAAAACTGCCGGACAAACAGATGGGCAGACATACTGATAGACGCGCCCAGGCCGACAATATGGTCCCTCACTATGTGGCGGGGAAAGTAAAAGGCAAGCATTTGTTTACCATAGGTTAAAATGATAAGATACTTTTGTTCAAAAAGTAAATGTGTAGGGTTAAAACAAAACGGAAATATACTTGATGCTATAATATAGGGACATCTCATTGGGAGATTCATTCTAATTGTGTTAGTTTAATTTCTTCAATTTGTGATTCAGGCCAGAAAGGGTAGGAATCACAAATTCAAAGGATAGGTATCTTCAATCTAAATTTATGCTCAAGTACTGTATATTGAGACTTATGACAGAATGATGCCACTCTTAAAAAGTATTACTTGGATTTCCTTATATTGAGAAATTGAACTACTCATTTTAAGTAAAAAATTACTTAAAAATTCAATTAACCAGGGATAGTTTATCTTATATTTTGCACAATACCCAATGCTTATTCAGATGAATAGTTAAAAGTTTAGTTCTATTTAAGAAACGAAACATTTTTGAATGTCTAAAAGGGTATGTCATAAGCTAAAATGTTTTTGAAATGGAGAAAAACAGTTGAGAGGGATAATCGAAACGTTTTATCTCTACCAACGATTGTTAGTTAATAGAAACAGGTAAAAGTGACTACTTATCTAATGTTACTTTTAAAATTGAAAATTGTGATAAAAATTCAATTAATTATTGGACACTCATCAAAGACTTGTTAGGTAAAAACAGTATTTCTTCCATTCCAGTTTTATACCTGCCTAATAATGATGTTCCTGCATGCTCCAGTTTGGACAAATCTAATATGCTCATGAAATACTTTGTACAGAAAATCTGATTGAAAATAATGCAAATCTTACACCTATTTTTCCAAGCAGAACCAATCAAATACTCCAAAACTTCAGAACTTCACAACAAGAGGTCTTTGAACTACTTAACGAGTTAGATGTACATAAATCTCCTGGTCCTGATGAAATCTCAAACAAGATGTTAAAAATGTGTGCCAGCTCTTTTTCATTACCAGTAAGCAACCTATTTAATAGAATACTTGATGAGAATATTTTTCCAGATATCTGGAAGGAGGGAATAGTTATTCCAATTTACAAAAAAGGTGACTCAACCATTGCCTCCAATTATAGACCTGTAACTCTCCTAAGTACTTTGTCTAAAGTTTTCGAACGCATTATTCATAGACATTTGCTTTCTCATCTTCTCGAGCACAATCTCTTGTATAAACTCCAAAGTGGGTTCTTACCTAAACATGGAACAACAAATCAACTAATAAATATTGTACATGATCTTCATCAACATATTGATAATAAAGAGCATATACGCTCAATCTTTTTGGACCTGAGTTCAGCTTTTGACGTTGTCCCGCACAACTTATTGATAACTAAATTAAAAGGCTATGGTTGTAACAACAATTTTATTAATCTCATTAAATCATACTTAAGTGATAGGCGTATCAGAGTTAAGGTCAATAATAACTTATCAGAATGGTCCTCTGTTCAACATACAGATGCTCAAGAATCAGATACACAAATACATAATAACAACCCTCAGATCAAGAATTATAAAATTAACGCAGGAGTTCCTCAGGGTTCAGTGTTGGGAGCCCTCCTATTTTTGATATATATCAACGACTTACCGGATGGTCTTGTTTCAAAGACTTTCATATTCGCGGATGACACTTCACTCCATAATCCTTTTGATGTAAATGAAATATTTCTCGATATTCATGAACCCATTCAAAGTGATTTGGACCACTTAGACCAATGGGCCGCAACTTGGAAAATGTTATTCAAAGCACAGAAAAGTGCTGATTTGATATTCACTGGACATAGAAACATTAATATTGAACCTCCTCCTCTGAAAATGAACGGGGAAATAGTCCCTAGATGTAATACTCATAAACACCTCGGACTTACTCTTGACCAGCACCTAAACTTCAACGCTGACATTGACCACTTAATTAACAAAGTAATAAGCCTGATGAGGCCCATGAAGAAACTCTGCAAGATCTTGTCAAGCAAGCACCTTGAAACTTTATATAATGCGTACATACTCCCTCATTTTGATTATTGTGACATCATATACAATAGTGCATCAGATACCAAATTGCAATCTCTTGAACGGTTACATTATAGAGCAGCATGTCTAGTCTCTGGAGCAATCCATGGCTCGAACACTAATAAAGTTCTCTCATCAATAAACTGGAAAACTTTATCCTCTAGAAGAGAGGAACATCTCAAAATATTTATTTTTAAAGCAAGATATAATAACTTTCCTCCTTTCATTTGTAATCTTGTCAGGTCCTATGAGAATGATATACAAGTGCGCTCACTAAGGAGCCACAGGGACTATAAGATTCCCCTTCAAACAAGCGCTTTGGCTAAGAAATCTACAATTTTTAAAGGTATGGCCCTTTGGAATAACCTTCCACCAGATTATAGAATTGGCCAGCCAATTTCAAGATTTAAAAGAATAGTAAGAGGCGATGGAAGCCATGCTTCTACCCTATCAACGTCAAAACTAAAAAATGCCATGCCTCGCTACCTAGAAATTCCGTTAAACCGACTCAGGTCCGGACTTCTCTTGCAAGCTCACCTCCATGCACACAACTTTGAACGGGTTGCTAATCCTAAATGTTTATGTGACAATACAAACCAGACAACTTTACATTTCCTGTTGAAATGCCCACTGCTGACAGAGCAGAGAACAACACTACTTGCAGGATTGGAGACGATAGGGATCCTTACCCACTATGATGGACTTAATATGCATGATCAATCCCAGTTCTTACTTTTTGGTGATAATAAATTTCCAATAGATGTCAATGAGAAACTAATGAACATAGTAGCATATTATATCCACCAGGGTCTAGATCTTTTGGACATGTAATCGATTACAACATGTTACAACTGAAATCCCTCTGGCCAAGGGATAAAAAAAGAACCTTACACATTTTTGTGATATACGAGTGTAGTGTGATGATATTTTATTGACTTTTTTTCATCTATTTTAACAATAACATGACATAAAAATAACTTATTATGTAAAAAATTAATAACATTCCTTTGGATTTCACTCAAAATTGCCGTCAATGTCATTAGACTTTGGCAATTGTTTAAGTTTGTATATCTGTATTTTATGGAATACAATAAAGATGATTAATAAAAAAAAAAAAAACGATTGTTGTACTAAATAACATGCACGCTAGTGTTGCATTATGGACAATGATTCGATAATGAAATTAGTTTACATTAGAGACACCTTTTCTTTGAGTGGTGTTTTGTCTTTTAATAATGTCGTTTAAATAAAAATACCATGATTTCATTATTAAGTACAGATACTCTCTTTCTATCAAGAACGACCCATTTTGGTAGATCAAATCATATTGATAAATAAGCTTATTAGTATGTCGGGAAACAGTTGCAACTTGGGCAATATAAAGGACATGTCATTTATAATACTTTGTACGTATGTCAATGATTTTACAGCACCACATAAACTATGGTATTTTAGTCACATAAACAAAAATGTTGAGTCAAACAGGTACAGGCGGGTCAATAAAAACAAAACAATTAATTTATGGAGATAACCTTGTGCTACTGTAAGGCATTGTACCGGTATGCGTTATACCAAATGGAGCCTTCCTCTTTGGCAACATTTGAAGTATATATTGATAGAACTGAAAATAATGTTTTCACATTACTTCTTTGACTAATTGGACAATGTTTTTCGTAAAATAATAAATCGAATAATTCAGGGTATTTCATTACGTGTTGTTTGAGTCAAAATTCAGTGTTTTGTTCATTTTATGCATAACCTTTGACGTCAATGTGAATTATTTAATGCTTATTAATATGAATGAAGTTAACAGATACTTGACAGTCATGACATGTACAAAGGAGGAGGTGCAATACCCGAGATGCGACCCAATGATAAATTATTTTTTTATACAAATCAATTGATATTATTTATCACTTAAGGTAGTTGTATCTCGGACATGTGAAAATGACTAAAACTAAAATGTGCATATCTTTATCTTAGAAGGCCCATGCTTCATAATTCAACAAACAAATTAGTGTCGCCGATTCTGTTTTAACTTAAAGTTGGAAAACATCTTCATCCCCGTGATATAGAATATGATAGTAGGGGGTTAAGAGGCTGTATTATCTCAAAAACGTAACAAAACGTTAGGAAAAAGATAAAAAAGACATTCATGTGTTATTTACATACATTTATTTTAACAACCAAATGTGCTGTTTCATAGATATAGTACATTATGTGTTACATAAGATCTACTATCATAACGTTTTAACATACAGTACAATAATAAAGAGTCTCAACAATTATTTGCGAAAAAACAGCCATCACCGGCATATTATAAGGTCCTCATTTTGGAAACTAACTTCCCGCAGGTTGATTTTCTCAATAGCAGCATCTTCCTCAGGGTCAACGTTATGCATATTCTCAATGTCAAAGGTCCATGTGCAGTATGGCAAGATTTTAGACGGTCACATCTTTCACCAGGTATTTTCTTTGCATGAATACAGTGTTTTTTATTAAAACAATAGGTTTTCTTTCAAAGTGAAGTCCCTATGATAGTTAAATATCGATCAAACTATCTGAAAAATGATGGATAAAGACCCCATCTTGGCACTTTTAAAAAAATGTTAGACTCATTTTCTAAACAGAGGATTTTGTCTTTCTCAATACAAACATATCGAAAGTTTCTTCTTCGCTATATAAACAATCTCAGAAAAGGGGATGCGTATTGAAATGCGTGAACGTTGGTTAAAATCCTGTTATTTTCCCAGAGGGAAAACTCGTGCTATCCATTTTTTTTCAATTAATTTTGGTCATCGAAAATTGATATAGTCAAAATTAGACTTTCAATGCCATTCTACTTTTGAAGAAGTTTTAGACTCCTTTTTGAATAATCTTTTCATGTTGTAAAAATCATAAAAAGAAGATCCTCTTTTGAGTAAATAGGTTCAACATTTTGAAAAAATGATTGACATGGGGTCCCTATTCATAATTTTTTGAATTGTTTGATTGATATTGTTATCATCATTTGGATTTCACTTGAAAGAAAACATGTTGTTTTCATAAAAAAACACTGTATTTATGGTTAGAAAGTACTCATTAAAAGATGTGACCGTCTAAAATCACTTGCCATACTGCACATAAACTTTTCCATATTTTCCATTGGCAATTATTTTATATCAAATTTTTTCTTGCCCAACTCTAATTTCAGATCTCTCCAGAATTTTCTTTGTTTTCTTTCATCTTCGCTCCATTTTAGGCAAACACTGTTTCTCACCATAAGCCTCAGTTCTCCTGACAAACTCGTTCCACCCCTCTTTCATCCATCCTCGTGTGACCAGAAAAATTATATGGTGACTACGATCCATATGGGTCATGATCCCGCTAAAGTATGATTCTTGACCTGGTATTATGTTGTCATCGTGAATCAATGTAAAATCAAGTTCGCCATTACACAGTTCCGGTGTCATGACTTGATTGACCCATATTCTTTTTTCCGAATGATAACTTACGAAAGCATCATAGATTTCCATGTCCTCATCATTGTCTTTGATGATATTGTAACCATTCCTCTGCCGTGCCCTCCGCACCATATGTCTGTATTTAATATCCCTCCAGAAGTATTTAAGCAGAGATAAAATCACAATTGTCATTAGGGTGATAAAACAACCAGTCAAGGCACATATTTGTTTGAATACCTCACTGTTACAATCTAACCATGTTATTTTATAATCCAGAAGTGTTTCATGTGTTCGGCCAGTTGGTGATTTACAGAATTTATCATATTTAACATTACATCTGCCTTTTCTATTTTTTAACCATTTTCTGAAAGCTCTCATTTTGCAATCACATGATAGTAAATTTGTTTGAATGTAAACCGAAGAAGCATAGGGGATTCCATGAAAAGCATTCCCATCAATTGATGTAATTAGATTTCTTGACAGATCTAAGAATGATAAATTTTGCAATTTAAATAAATTGCTTTCAATATATTCGATTTTATTTCCAGCCAGTCTTAAATTGGATACTATGCACGTTTTGAAAAAACATTCAGGGATGTGTTTGAAATAGTTATTACTCAAATCCATTTTATTCACAATTATCTCTACAAACAAAGAACATAAATTTTGAACTGAGTATCGAAACATCATATTCTCAGACAAGTTGATGATATTAAATCTAGTGGATTTACGTGTCTGAAAGAATTGGAATATTTCTTGATGAAGTAATTTATAACTTATGCCATTCGCCAAGTTTGGGATTTGAAAGTTTTGTACATGTAGGAGTTTACTAAACTGAAATCTAATCCTCGTGGTATCTACTTTCGATATAAAAAGGTCAGTCAAGCTGATTAACTTATTCAAATTTATAACGGACAATTTTGTTCGAGGAATATATGGTGTTTCATAAATTTTAAGATTGGTGAGATTTGTAAGAGAGCTTAAGGCACCTGTGGATAGTCTCCTAAAGTTTGAGATCTTCAAAACGTTGAGAGATCTTACATATATAAAGGCCTCATTTTCATAGGTTCCTATGGCATTGGATTCTAAGTTTAATTCAAGTAAGTTTGACTTAGTTAAAGGTTGCAAAATAAAATCACAGAATTTCTCAATGGCAATGCCACATGAAACAACGTTTAATATTTTTAATTTTGTATACTTCAGGCTTTTTATAACTGTATAAAAGTTTTCACTCCCAAAATTAAGGTTCCTTTCAAATGACAAAGAATTCACATGTTTTATACCATGAAAGAGATTTGGTTCAAGGTAGCTAATATTATTGTCCCTTAGCTTCAGTGAGAGCACGGATGCATTTTTGAACTGTGTTATATGTCTTTTCATTATTGTAGTGATGTTGTTATTTGATAGATCAATCGTCAGGTTCTTGAGGTCACTTGTTCCACCAACAAATGACAAATCGGATATACGATTATAATAAAGATACAGTTTCTCTAATTTAGGCAGGTAAGACAGAATAAAATCCGGAATTTTCGTTAACCCAATACAACTTAAATCAAGAACTTCTAGATTTCTTAGGGGTCGAAAAACGTTGTGATATTTCAGTAGACTATCGTGTTGTACAACACGCCTTCTCAGTTGTTGAAATGCTTCAAACGAATTATCTTCTGCATTTAAAACCTTTCCTAGAACTAGTCTCTGGACTTCTGGACAGGATCGTAACACATCATAGCTGAGATACATCCCGGTGTTGTATTCTTCTAAGTCTATCACAGAAAGATCAGTTAGTGCGTTAATTCCTTGAAATGCATAAGGCTCCATGATTGTTAGGTTACAATCTTCCATGTATAATCGGGTTAGGTTCGCTAGATTATGAAACGACTTATTTGGAATAGCCCCGAGGTTGCAATTATATATTTGAAGTTTTTTTAAAGATCCAGAGTTAGGAATACATCTAAGGATATGGCTTATATTTACATGTGCATAGCTTTCTTGTTTCGTAGTCCGGCACACGCATATACAAAATAGGCTGTCGCAGTCACAGAGTTTATAACAGTCGGGTATTTCAACTGTTGGTTGACTTGCCACTTGATTTACAAGTACAACAGCACACAGCAGAAGGAACATGCTCATCTTAGGTTTGAACTGAAAAACAATCGGCCCATACTTTATTTTAGTATTTTTTTAATTTGTATTATTAGATGAACATGTTATACTTAGATATTTAATTATAATCCCCATCCTTGATTGTCAAACAAAAGTAGGATTGTATTGAAAGTCTAGTTTAAATCAATTTTTGATGACCAAAATTATGCTGAAAACAAGTTTTCCCTATGGGTAAATGACATCGGATATGTGGTTTTTAACTGTAACGAATTTCAATACCCATCCCTTTTCAGAAATTGTTATCATAGTGTAGAAAAAACTTTCGATATGTTTAAATTAAAATAAACAAGATCCTCTTATTAGAAAATGAGCTTTACTTTTTTTAAAAGTGCCATAATTTCCCAGAGAGTTGGATCGATATATTGTTATGATGGGGGCTTCATTTAAAATAAAACATATTGTTTTAATAAAAGAAACACTATTGTGGCCAGGAAGTACCCATGGTAAAATATATGACCGTTTTAAATCACTTGCAACATTTCACAAGGACCTTTGGGGAGTTTGAAGCAAAGAAAGTAAGATTTTTTGCACAAGAAAACATTAAATAGATATTTTGATATTATTATTCATTTCTTATTTTGAAACCAGACTTAAAAACCTTACCTTGCTGCTTGTGTTTGGGATGTATCCGAACGTTGAACTCAAGCGACTTTGAACTGTATTTACGATACACTTAGTAGTTTGTAATACAGTTGAATGTCAGCATATGTTTTAGATAGTTGGACCTTAAGATATAAATATATGAAAATGTACAATAAGCATATTGATTTGACATATTCTGTTTCCTTGTGGATGAGGATAATAGCATGATTTTTGTATTTGTCAAGTAATTTACAACATCTATCCTTATTGAATTGACAAAAGTTTCCCTGAGACTAAGGATACCAAGTATTAATCAAGTATGCTATAAAAGTATGTAGTGTGCTCTCAAAATACTTAATGGTTATAGATTTTTTCAATTCGCGGAAATGTAATAGATGAATGTTTATTTAAAGAACGTGAATTGGCATTTTCATTAATTTTTAATCAATAAAATTGTTGTCAACCTTTTTAAAGTGGTGATTAAAGGGGTTCACATAATTTAGGTTTTATCAATTCAAGATAATGACAAAGACATGGAAATGTATGATATTCCATTAGGTATCGTATCAGAAAAAGTATAAGGGATCAACTCTGTAGTGGCGAAATTGACACATTGATTCAAACTGTGTAAATAAAGAAATAAAAACAAAAAAAAACAAAATAAAATAAATAACCTCTGTGAATGAAAAACGGTGCGTGGATCTTTATCAATTATAATATATACATCTTTACGAACCTCATTGGAACAAAAAGACGTACACAACGTGCTTAGATCTATCAATATTGTAATTGTACAAAGGAAATGTTGGTTGACTTTTTAAAAAGTATCTTGTTAATGAAATAAAAGGTTTACTTTAATTTTTATCTACTTTGAGGTTTTTGTTTTAATTTTTGAATACTTTTTGTTAAATCAACCAAAATTTCCTTTGTATAACTATGAGAAGACTAAAAAATATTGTATGTGCTATTTTGTACCACGAAGGTTCGGATAGAAATTTTATTTCATTCTCAAGCATTGGTAGAAAGGAAAAAAAACAATTGCACTAAAAAACAAAGATTGCTAACAAAAACTCTAGCCAGTATATACTCACTTATTTTAATAATAGATAAATAAATGAAGTTATAATAACTCAATTCCTTCTACATCTGATTAGGGTTTGGACATTTTGCTCAGTTTTGGCAGACATTTTGAATTTGAGTGCGAAAAATAAAGGTGTTGAAACGAGTGTGAAAAATTGAAGGTTTTGAAATTCAGACATGGATGCTCACAAAGTAATGTGTTCAAAAACAGATTAAACTAAGGTGAGTTATGGATGCCGGGTGCCCTCGGGTAAGTGTCATTGTATTTTTGCGTTTATAACATCAGTTTATAATATCAATATGCTCCCTGGAACAGCCTCGCTTTCATTTCTTCCATTTTTGGTATTGTACTAGGTCTTGATTGAAGATTGTATACCGTTATTGAAGCAGTATTCGAACGAAGGCAAAGTTTTTGATTACGTCATCAACGATCTCACGGCTGTCCCTTGTACAACAGAGCCAACTGGTAAGTGCACTGTGGCATATCTGAGTACTTCGTGTAATGTTGTAAGTGCAATTGGTCATTGTGACTGGTTATGGTGTTATATCTGATAACATGTACTTTTTTCATTGTCATCTTAGTGAATGGAATGTCAGGGGAACTGCAGTTTCGAGCTGGCAATTTATTTTTACGTTTAACCCTAAAGTTCATAAGGGGGGTACTTCCCCAACCATATGTACTCCCGTTGGTGCAATTAGCTTGGGAACTCTAGGCTAAAGAAGTTCATTTGAATCCCAAGGAATTTGGAAGTCGTGTTGCTTTATGTATGTACGTGTACTTGAAATCACCATGAATTGTACTGATCATACACATTTAATGCAAATGACATCGCATATGACTATAACTCCATTGAAGTAATCTTACACCATGTACAATTTGGAATGGAATTTAAATATAATACAATTCTAGAGCTCAACAGTTAAAGATTATAAACATAGCCCGGAAGTTGCCATCGTAATTGAGCAGAATTGGAGATGGGGTTACTTTTTAATTTTGAAATCAAATATTGCGGTTAACATCAAAATATCCATCCTATATATGGCAAGGAATCATTAAAATACAATAAAGAGACATACACAGTACATAAAGGATTGGGTGTAAAGTGGTAACATGTCACAATTATCAATTAATTAGTCATTAAACATCATAAATCAATCAATAGTCTCTGGTGTTATTTACATATAGTCTCTTCAAGATCGGGAGTCACATTGTGACAATATTTTGTATTTATCAGCTTATTAAAGTGGTATTACACTATCAAAACTATTTGAATTGTGTTGCTGGAATGAATGACTATGCTTAAATAAAGCGAGTTGGTCGATTATTGAGTTTGTCAGAATATGTTGTGGGGCATATTTTACCATCTTCCTTGGGTTACAATATTGCGACTAACGTCGATATGATTTCACACTTCCGGTATACTTGATGCAAAATGGCTATCTCCATCAACTATGTCAGTGGGTCAGTTTGTATTATTCTTTTCAATATATTCAGTTAACCTAATTTATTCTTTAAAAGGTTTCAATTTTATTTCGTCAATCACACATAAAGCTACATATATTGAGATGAACTGAGAGCCAACCATTAGTTCTGCTTTAAATAAATAAACAGGCTGTTATATGTGCTTCGAATTAAAGTACCAGCACATAGATGTCACCCTATTTAAGTTGAACCTATTAAACTACCTTATACTCAAGTAGCAGAAATCATTGTCTGTATATATAATAATTATGTAAAATACAACATATATAACACACACCTTCCCAAAGGTCATTGTATATTAATATACAACGACCGTGTCAGTGTATATAAGTAATTGATATTTTTTTTAGGAGAAATCTGGGAATTCTTACGGCGTATACTCGACCTGTCAATGGACGTATTGTCACCACACGGCAAATACTTCACCCAGGTATAGAAATATACAGGATGCCCATAAAAAAGTCATAACATTTTACAAAGACTTTGTCATGAAATTGTAAATATACTTTTTGGACACCCTGTACACTAGCACCACTGATGTTAACGTCGATACTCGCGTTGTCAAATTTTGTTTTAAAGTGTGTCGACATGCTTTCACATCTGATAAAATATACACGGACGATGTTTGTTTAGAAATAAATGTGTTCCCAAGGCAACAGGCACGTATCCTATGCACGTATCCGTTCACCAAGGAAACGCATATCTGATGAGTGATGCACAAAATATATGTTTGTTTTAAATGCGTTTACAAGGAAACAATTATCTGTTTCCAGGGCAACGGTTTTCCGAGGAAGGATGCACTGAAAATGTATGAAGAACAACTGCAGAAGCTTAGAAACCCCGTGGACTTTAAGAAGGAGACAGTCTGTGTACCTTCATATTTGGAATTGTATCCTTTTAGTCTTCAAAGATACTAATTAGGGTGTAGTAAATTAAAATACCCAGTGATCATTGTTTTAGGAGTCAGTTTTTTTGTTACGAAAAGGCACAGATGGTATGTTCCTCCTTTATCTTGAAAGAACATAACTTTTTAAAAAGAATGAGTTGACAACTTCATCAAGTCAGTTTCTAAAAATTTACACTCACTGGCTGGTCAAGGTCAATCGATCTATCATCGTATCCTGCAGACTTGTGATCACCATATGCTTTGCACCGAAATCTCTATACATGTATCATCAATCATGCCTTGTATGTAATATTAATCACCAGTCATTTCTAATATGTATTAATGTTATTTCCTTGACAGTCCAAAGATGGGTGTTCTATGAAATCTGGAAGACGAACACTACACGGGCAAACACAACCATCGAAGATTACAAATTAACAATATGAACAAATAGCTGTTCCTCTTGAATTGGACATTATTGTCTTGGTGTATTGCAACAACTAACCTAATATTGAACCGTGAAGAATAGAATGCATCAGAATCAATGGGCGACGACAACACTATAATTAGTGGCATGTGGCACATTGTTATCAAACGGTGATTCTACAATAGCATAAGGGCAAAAATAGATGTAAAACACAATAAGAGATTTGACTGAGATTTTGTCAACTAACATTGCTGATCTACTCCTCATGGACATATCCCTTTATGAGGGCATGTAACAATAATTTTTAGGGATTTGAGCCCATGTAAGTTTCTAAAGGGTTCAAAGTGTAAAAATCAATCGCTTCCCTAGCAGCCTTAAACATTAGGCAATTGACTAATTTTTGGCTGAATAATAAAAACAACATTAATACATTCATTATCTTGATTTGAATAGAACTTGTAAACATGCGCTGTCACTTATACTATATTTAAGTGGATTAATAAATCAAATTCCCAAGCGGATTTACTTCCACTTATGACCATTTGCTATGTAAAAATTATTTTCAAAGCACGACTAGAACACGCAACTCTTAATTGAATTTCAAAATGTATGAATAAAATTAATCAAATAAATGTTACCGTGTATAATACACATGATATTGTTTTGTTACTTCAATATTGTTCAACTCATCAAAGTAATGACTTTCTGAGTCCAAAGTGACTAGAATACGAAGTTGAAACTTGTGAATCAAGAGGAAAACCCACGTGTTGATTCGTTACAGTCATTAAAAGTAGTGTGTACGGTTTAGTACCAACGTACAGTAGTTTAAATTGTTTGTTATACTGTATTATGAAAACATATAAGATGAAGATGTTAATGAATTGAAACTACATTTACGGCGACATATTGAACTTGCGACAAACTTGAGCGTTGCAAGTCAAGGTACGTCTATGTCCATACCAGGGTAAATAACAAGAAAGTGTTATCATAGTGTTAATTCCAGCTAAATCGATTTATCAGGCAATTCTGATTTCAGATTCCCAATCCTGATAAAATATCGTAATAAACAATATCAGAATAAAAGCATATATAAAGTAACATATCATTACATGATTCAAATGTTGGAAGTGTAATGCACTTGGTAAATGTCGAATAACAAATTGGGGAATATTAAATAAGTAGCACTTGTAGATCTACTAGAGATATTCTCTTTTTTATAGTTGTTTGAAGGGTATAGTGTGTCTCTAAAAAAACGGCGGGAAATTAGTATTAATTATACATGAAAAGTATATATTCTATCAAATCAAACCTTTGTAGTTGCTTATCATCATGGTGGTGGAGTGTTTTGCAGTACAATGCCAGGATGTTGGATGCTACGACAACGCACTGTCATAGTCGCTCGACTAATTCATACACATGTACTACTACCTATATATGAGCAATTGGTAGATGCCACCTAAAAATACCTCTGTGAATAATACTTATCCTGATTATAGGTGTCACATTCAGCCAGTTCCTCCTTGGTAATATTCCTGCTTACTATCTTTGTTTTAAGGTAGGTTCGATATTCTACAAATTATAGTGACTGCCATTGAGGGAAATAGAGCAAACTATTTTTACATAATTCATCCCTTGCAAACATTTCTTTGCACAAACATTCATTCTTTTCAATGATTCTGTGTAAACATTTTTGCAATGTGTGAAAATAATTAAGCCAAGGACTCAATACCTTACGGATAATTCATTTCACGAATGCGATATTCTTTAGACTGCATATATGCTCTGACTTTATACAAAAGTCGGGAAATAACCCCTTCGTGGAATGAAACAGCACATAATGGATTGACATTCAGTTGGCTTTGAATTTAACTGTATTATTGTAAATGTATACACACGTTTACCGGGACGTTTACCCATGTCTGGTCTTGAAATCACGAACTATTTAGCCTATCGGTATGCTACATCATGATCACATTGTAAGGAGACCTCGAGTATTTAGAGGGGAAGACGATATGCAAACTAAACACCCAAACTCCTATTGTCAGCAAGATTGCTCAAGATATGTCTAGCCTTGGTTTTATATCTTTACCAAACCAATCACTTTTTTAAATTCAAAATACATCTTTCATTTTTATATTATTACAATTAATTCAAACCGAAGAAGATGATGTTTACATGATTTACATTTATTTCAAAACTTGACATTAAGAGGAACATTGAGATGTATGGATACTATACATATGTTCATTGTATTGCGATGAAAACTTCCATAATGATATCCCGAGAAGGCCAAGTGTTAAAGAAAGTCATCTGATGAAAGTGCCTCAGATATTTAACAACATATAGAGTTGAATATCCGTATCCTTTCGAGGGCACAACATATCTTTATTTTATGGAAAATCATAGAATGACGTTCTTATTCATGGTATAACGTTGTTATACATGACATAGCGTCATCATGCATTGAACACTAATACACATAATAAGGTCTTTCTGCACGGAGCTACGTAAATACGCATGATAAAAAGTTATAATGCAGATTTGTTCTCATGATGTCATTTTGCATGAAATAACGTTATTTTTTGGAATAACGTCATTATCATGGAATAACGTCAATGTGCACGAAACAACGTCCTTATGCATGGAATAACGTTATTATGAATGGAACAACATCCTTTATGCAATAGTAAATTGATGACTTCAAGGTATGTTGTACTGTACTGGTGGCAGCTTCTTGGTTTTATGGATTTGCATTACACGGCACGTATTATTCCAATATTTAAAGTTTTTACGTCAAATGGCCCAACAAGAGTGTTACAAATGTTGTTCAAACATTATTTGGGTAAACATCCCCATTATGTTTTAATCACAACAAACGTATTCTTCATGGTTTCATCAGTTTCATATAGGAACCATAAGTCAAAAAATACTGAGAGCAAAATAATGATTTTGTTTATCTGACATCAATTCAAAATGGTGATGACATTTGTATCTATTGCCATGTATCGACCTCGGCAAATTAAAAATATAGATTTGTATGCCAATATTGCGTTTACTCCTATTGTCAGAATACTTGGTCCATTAGTACTGCTCAACGGTTTGCTAAAAATGGCGGTCAAAACGGATATCTAACAATTAATATGATGTTAATCTCATTGTTTTAACTGCTCTTTGGTTCATTGTTCGAAGATATTGATGTGCCATTACCACGTTAATTCTTGTCGGAAATCAGTGTTCACTGTTTTTTCGTTTTGTCTTTCCTCATGAACTGCAGACATGAATTTCTTCCATGGCATTGGATGAGACAATTCATATCTGAAAAACAGAATATCAAATTGATAGTACAATAAAATTAATCTCGTTCGATCAATGTTTTTTTTGCATTTTGACTGGAGTAATAACAAGTTCCAGGAATATTGAACAAATACCCGGCTTTTGCACTCCTAATTAATCATCAACACCCTAATCACCTAAAGAGCTTTTGAAAATTAACAATTGAGATCAAAAGCACTGCACATTGACAACCTTGGAAATCAAATCAATAACAATGGAAACAATTTAAACACACGTGACCCGACATATTCAGAGGAAATCAAACTACTGGTAACACCATTTTAAAAAATGAACTCTGGTTTTAAAGTTCATGGGAATGGGGCATTTTTAGATCGAAATCATCTAGCACTTCGGACAAAACAGGCTTTTCCACGTGGATCTAATCAATAAATAATTACCTTCAACGTTGAGGTAGTCATTTTTTAAACATATCGCTTGTACACTCATGATATTGAGATAATTTGTCACACAGTATTTAATGACCGTACAGATGCTTTTAAATATACAACAAAGCAACTTGAAAGGGTTTGTTATATAAAACAGCAATGGATTGTTTTACATCACATGCCCTTTGTGAATATTATAGTTCTCATTATCAGAAATACACCATTGGTAACTATTGGTGTGAATTACTGTTCATGTTATATTTTATGAACGCTTAAATGTAGAAAAGAAAACAAAATATCTATAAATACGTATTCTAGATGGTCACTGATAAATATAGAGGGCAGTACGTGCACATGTAAAAAAGACTTAAGGATATAAAAATTGGTTTGATGGCCAAAAGTCCTTGATACATAGAAATACCGTGAAATCTGTTCAATGGAACACTTTCCTATAATGAACACCTTCTTAGAGGGAACACCTTTCTATAATGAACACCTTCCTAAAGTGAACACTTGCCTATAATGAACACCTTCCTAAAGTGAACACTTTCCTATAATGAACACCTCCCTAAAGTGAACACATTCCCATAATGGACACCTTCCTAAAGTGAACACTTTCCTATAATGAACATCTTCCTAAAGCGAACATCTTCCTATAATGAACACCTTCCTAAAGTGAACACTTTCCTATAATGAACACCTTCCTAAAGTGAACACAATAATGAACACCTTCCTAAAGTGAACACCTTCCCATAATGGACACCTTCCTAAAGTGAACACCCTCCTATAATGAACACCGTCCTGGAATGAGCACGTTCCTTTACTTAGTACCTCTCTTCCCGAAAATCGAATTATTTTCCTTAAAGCAACCAAATAGTTTTTCATTGACATATTTCTAAACCATATCCATAGATTCGTTGATCCCAAACTATTTTAATCTGTTTAGGATTAAAAGAAATGTAATTGTAGCGAAATCGAGCTATATATGAAGTGATTTCATCGAGGTCCAATTAATCGATTAAATCAAAAAATCATATAGTCGGTTTCTTTTGACCTATGACTATGAGTCTCGCGATCAATGAATAGAAAAAATGATTAGGAGACATGAAATAAGAAAAAGCATTTCAGCATGGTTCAGTTCAAATATTTGAATGTGTAGTGGAACATTTTGCAGAGATTGGAGACGGTTTTCCATTTGTAGTTGAGCTATATCGCAAAAATGCAGATAAGACAAAAATATCGGGCATGTGCGCTCGGGGAAGGGTAAGAAGATGTGAGAGGGATAAACTTGCACTTACCGTATCATAATTATCTACATTGGTTGGAACGGATTCCAAATTTTCCCAGTCAATATAGGATTCTCCATTAATATCAGAATCTATTGGGAGCTCGGGAATTGGAGCCTTATCTAGAATTATTTTTAGTTTCCAAATCCACCAATAGAAGTCATCGTACATGCTTAGTTTCCGCGAAGTAGGCTGTAACAAATAGTGAAAATTAAGCTTTTTATATTTTGCAGGAGGATGTGTAAATTCGATTTGGTTCGATGTGTGAGCGCCAAACTGTTTTATTTATTAGTTACATTTATTACTTTTATAGAGATTTTTATTTGTGAACGAATTTTAGCAACTGTAATATCCCATCGTAATCATTGTCTTACCTGAATCGCATTTCTCTTGCTATACTGTAAGAAAAAATATAGCTTTGAATAAATATAAATTACCCAGTGGAAAATTGTATATTGGGGTTTTCACGGCCCGAGTATGGTATTATAGTTTGTCAAGAGGTAATGGGCACAGGGGACGAGTTAAAGTATGGACAATTACGTTTTCTTCGAGTCCATGAATGAACGTATCTTGATATACAGTCACCTCCATAAGTTTGACAACCAACAGTTGTCATTGGATAGTATAATAAAGCCTAAAAATGTTTAAATCATATTTTCGTTTCTTATAAAAAATCGAAAATACGACAAATGATGATGAAGATTAAAAGGCTTCGATGAGTGATCCAAATGGTTAACTCCGATTGTCAAACTTCTGTAGGGGGCTGTACAACGTCATACACCCATGGCGAAGGTTTTAGAATACTAGCCTCAAGGAACCTCTAATTTCCTTCTTGTGTAACGAAATAGTACTCATAATTTATACGTTCATATTGTTTTAGGATATGAGTTGCACTTCAAGGTTAATGGAAGTAGGTCGAGTTATCGACAGTTCAAGGTATCCACCTCTCTGATTTTTAATGCTTGTCAAATATAAATAAATGTGATACGTACCCCAGATGGACAATTCTGGAACAAAAAAAGTACGCAATAAGTAAGCTTCTGTAACAGAAACACATGTATTAAGAGTTGGAAAACAAAAAGCAAAATAACATGTTTAGCAATGTGTTATCATGGGTAAAAAATAATATATTGAACTAAACTGAATAATGAGTCTCTAATATAATGCAGGTAGTTAAATTTACGAAAATTCTGGAAAAGATAACCTCCTCCATCTAAAAGTCACACCAATACAAGTAACACGGGTTCTATAACCTTAACAAGGATATTATGTGAGTTACATTACAGAGGCCACGTATGTATGTTTGATTTAACTCAAAAATCAACGTACCCTAGGATGAGCCTGGCACATCTGAAAAAATAAAACAAACATTGTTAATTTAAAGCGGGTACCCTAGCAAAGTACGATGATAGCAATACCGGATATAGATATAGTCACATTCTAAATACACGGTACTATGTTTACACTATTATATATATTTAACATGTAATTAGTTACAATAATGCTACTAATAGTTCGGCAAATTACAATCACCATGATTACATTACAAGATAAAGATATTGTCACCAAAATTACTATGTTTGTCTTCGATTTAACATTAGTATATTTTACATATTATTAGTTAATATGAAATAATAATAATAATTAATAATACTAATAATTCAACATAAATCAACAATTTTGGACCTGACAGTATCGTTGATATTTTTAAAGACAAGAAGAACAGAAGATATGATATGATAGATATAGTTTTGGCAACTCATCGCAAAACTATTAAAAGAAATGATGTATAAAAACGAAGAAGCTTTAGATTTGGAAATTGAGTTTTTAGAAATGAACTTTTTCAGACGACCATGTTTTGTCCTGTTAAAACGTATTTGACCAATTTCCCTCAAAAATCCAAACCATGCATGTGAATGAGTTGTGGATTAAATAAAATTGATCAAAATATCTAATTGTAAGAATTCACATCTTTGACTTCCAAGGTAAAGTTGGAGTATCTAACACCTTGTGAATCAAAATGAGAATACAAGCATATGATTTTCTGGCCATATTTAATAGGTTAATTGTTTGTATTACCATTATGAATTATACATAATGTCATCTTGAAAAAAAATTATCTATGGAATGAAAACAACAACAGAAATTTGCCCATGATGCAATCGTATAAACACTCGGACGTGCAGGAAACGATATTGATAGAAGTTGTACTATTCATAAATCATACCCTGTCATTATTGTTCATGAACAAGAAAACAGAAATATAATTTCAATAAGGTGTATTATGGTAAATATTAACTGTTCCGGAATGTTAAGTGTTTCAAATGGACATGGAGAAACATTGTTTTTTCATCGTTGGCTCAGATTGAAATCTCTCATTCAAAGGATGTCAATAGATGGCGACGAAAGCAGCCAGGCTTATCTTTTGTCGTAAAATATTGATCTTCATCATAGCTTACATGGTTCACTTTCTTAAATCCTAGATTTGTATCCTGGGGTTTTGGATTCACATTGGTTAGCACTTTACACGTGCTAGTCTCGAAACCATTTTGTACAATTGTTCTTTTGTTTAGTCCATGTGACACGTATCGTATTTAAACAGTGGGTGTACCCTTTATAAATGGTATTAAACTTACTAAAGGTGCAATGAAGACTGAACTTGTTCACTTATTTTCCATGTAAGAAAACTAATTTTATATCCGTTCTACAAATCTTTAATGATCATTGATAGGCAAATCAATGAATGTAAACGGCATTTCACCCTTCTCTTAATAGTCGATGCAATTTCTTGCGATGTATTGCTCCATGATCTCTGATTAAGGAAGTGTTGATAGTCAATTTTGTTTATTGCAAATCCGATTATTTCTTGCATAGAAAGTTGTAACGTTTCATTCGATTCTCAACAGGAGAAACTTCTTCGAAGGCGTCCATTTGAAGGTGCTCTCAACCTCCCATTCAGCTCTTGTAATTCGGTATATATACCCATGCGTCCTTTCTTGCTCTGGTGGTGCTCAATGAGAGACGTGGGGTATAAATGCGAGTCAGATTAACGGAACGGCAAAAATATTCTCATTCATATTGATCAAGAAAATGTATTGTTTCAAATTTTGCCATGTGTATCCTTTAACGTTATGGTGTTCGTATTTTGCAGTTAGATTAACTCGGTTAGGTTGAATCAAGGACATTTAGATATATTTAAATTGGAGTGGCTAGCAAATTTGAAAATTCCTTTAATGAAAGTGAACAAAAAGTAGGTGTTTGACAAGTTGGAAAAGGAAAAAGGCCAAAAGGTAGAACAAAAAGCACTCCATATAGCAAAAATGAATAAAATGGATCTCGTCTTTAACCCCAATGTGTACAGAGAGGGAGGATTTTTCCCCGGTACTTCTCTGCCAAGAAAAACTATTTTTTATAACCGTAGTACCTATAGGTACAGATAAAAGAGGGACCTTGGGATTTTTTCAGAAATTGCGTGAGAATCACACTATCTCTATGGTTTCTTAGAACCAAAAATATAAGCTGGTTCATTTTACTTCCTTTTGGATATAGACCATAGTAAATACGCTTTCATACAAACCACATTACAAGGTAATCTAACTTTCATTGACTGAGATACGTTTTGATCTAAATAATTTGATTGAAAATGTTTTTTTCAAAAACCAGTGATCATATATCCATGAGTTTTTTTCTGGGAGGTCCTGAACGTGTTTACCAGATGTCTACAAAACAGTATAACCATTTCTTTATTCGTTTTGTAGAAATTCACCTATCTCTGGGTCTAAGAAAGGTATTAACCCACGGTTTTTGTCCTAAAAAGATAGATACTATATACATCTCTCACATTCATACCCTATCTGGCATTATATGTTGTTTTTGACTGAAAAAAGTAAAAAGAAATCGCGAAAAAAGCTCGACCCTATGTTACTTTGACCTACTTTTGACCCCATTTGACCTTCCTTTTGAGTTTTAACTCCCCTCGAGAGCTTTGAATGACCAACAATATGGTACTTTACTCTTCAACTTTTTTCATTAGTTTAATGAAACATACATTGTACACATTAGGGTTAAAATATGAGACTATTGCACTTTTTAATCAGGAAATCGGAAATGTAAAACGCTGGCGTTGGTTATTTCATTTTACAATATTGTAGCGTCTAAGTAAGAAGCAGATTCAAAAACGTAATGCGAGAACAGACTTTAGGGGACTCATCTACTAAAAAAGCAATTATGTGCCAAATTGATTTGTGGTTTAATAAATATACAAATACAAATGAAGGGTACCCAAATGAAGTAAGTATGCATGCTATTGTTTAAATGGATGAACTTGCTGATAAATCTTGTATCTATTGACTATACTCATTAGAATGGGGGAACCTAAAATCTCAATGCGCCATTATAACACAGTATATGACATAGAACAGCGATGTACAACCCCACTATAAAAATATGAAAACTGGAAATTCCGTTTAGAACCATACATCACAGCATGCTAATTATGTCTTCAGATAAAAAGTCATCAACATTGACATATATTTTCAACTATTGTAATTAAGAAACAAAATTAACCGGCATTGTTGGGCTTTAGAATCGCCATTCAATGAAATATTTCGATTGCCAAACTTATAGAGGGAGTGTAGAACAGTTATGTAACATCCATTACATGCATTCGTTATGCTTTACCTATAAAGCACTTGGAGGTTTATCTATAAGCTCTCATTTGGGTGACGAGGCATTTATTAAAATGCAGTTATACTAGTGATTGAGAAAATAACAGAATGAGTTTTTACGTTAGGGGCTGGTGTGAAAAGTCGGTCCACGACCCACGACTCCTCATGAAAACGCAGTTACACAATTCAAAGTACGAAATCTCAGCAGTGGCTAATCGAAATCATAATATATAGTACTAATGTTGACAAATAAAATCCATACAATTCAACATGTGATTTAGATTATTTTAATTGTTAATGTGCAGAAAATTAACCAAGCATTTAACAAAGACAAGGATAGATCAGAATTAATTTATAGCCACACAAAATGTCCATAAAATAATCCTAATCATTGTCTATGTTGCTGTAAAATTGCAAATGAAACCAAGAATTCCATGCTGAATACAAAATAGTTTATGTAATTGTCACATGTAATGGTCAGAGCTCAGTGTGAACTGCTGTTCAATTGTGTAAAAGACCTAATGAAATAAAAGTCCCATTTTATTCTCAATCGTTCATCATTCAGAAACACATTGTATTGTCTTGGTTTTCCTATCAAGTTCACTTTTATATTTATAATTATTTTATGCTGAACCTGCTTATGAATATAGAACAAAAAATCATTTATTGAGTTGGATGTTAACGTTGCTCCAAAAAGCTAGTTATTTTGATTTTTTAAAGAAAAACGTGAATATGAATAACCACTCTTAGGCCTATAGTCCCATGCAAGATATTGCCATTTTTCATCCTCAAAAGTCACACGTGCAAGGTGAGTTTACTTGTGACATCACTGGTTTATAAACACCAACAACTGGCAACGGATACACCGTTGCTATGAGTACCTATGCTAATTCTACAAATATAAGCTGTGACGTCATAACAATGGAGCTTTGTTGCCATACGTATCCAAGTATTTTCTACAATATTGTTGTGACGTCACAACAAAAAATCGTTATCATCTGCTAATATTCTGAACGCCTGTGACTTTCTACCGTGGTATATACTCCGTGGTATACAGTTGAAAACGAAGCTGTAGCTGTAAACTGCAGGAAACTATAAAATACGCCCTGATATTTTAATCATGTGATCGGTTCTTATCCAATGAGAAAGCGAGAAACATTTCAATGATAATAAATCCTAACATGTTATGTCATTAAGATAATTCTACAGAAAAACTGTTTGAACGTATTCAAAATGTGTATTCAAAGGTTGCGAGGGCAGAAGAAACGTCAATGATAAAATGTATAGCGGTTGGCGTGGGAGTGGTTAAACCCTATTAATGATAAAATGGCAACATTAACAGACAACATGCACGGAGTAATCAGAAGCCAATAAACTATTGTAAGGGATCAATACAAAATCCGTCCCATCCAAATTGAAACATTACTTAAACACGTATAAAACAAGGAACACAACACGAAATCAACAACAAAACAACAATATTTCTGACGTAGGTAAACTTTCGACTTCACATGCAATTACAGACAATCAAAAAATATGGAAAGAACGCTCTAACTTACCATCTGAACGTTCCAATTAAATAAGATAAAAACAAATTTGGTCATGACACACGGCAATGAGTTTGTTCAATTTCGCAAATTATCTGTTAGCTACGTTATAATTAAGAGTTAGAACGACTCCACGACGACTGTTATAGGAACAAAATGGATGCGACACTAATTATCGAGCGCTTCATAGTCTCAGCAAGAAATTGGCAATTCTTAGTAGAGATTTATTGAATTTATTTTCATCGATCGACACGTGGGACACTTTTCTACATAATAGGAAGGTTAAAGGCCCACTTGGCGTATGTTCAACGTTTTTGGGCAAAATAAAGAATTTCATTTGAATTTCATAGTATGTCCAATGTATTGATAAGAACCTTATCTTTCATTTGATACCAACAACAGCTCAAATAGACCACATCAAAGCTTACAATAAATTATCAAAAAATATTTTCTTACTTGAAATATCAAGTTTTTATCAAAGTTGTTTGTATAACATGATACATTCATTTTTTATGGAAGTGTCGCCATCTTTTAAATCAACAGTAATTAAAAACATGCACTTTGTTTAACATGTGCATGCATGTCTTATGATCTCTCAACTTCAAATGCTTTTTTCTATGTGAGTTATTTTTTCATGGTTCAATATTAAAGCAAATCAAACTCTGTGTTATATTTGGGCGAGTGTGTGATTACAATAAAGCATTGAATTATTATTATTTAAAACACCAATATTAAGAAATTATCATGACGATAACGGTTGTAATTAATGCTTCTTAAAATACCCCTTATTATTTCCACCTATCAAAGTCATCGAGAAAAAATATATAACCATTCGATTAATGCTTAACCAACCATCCATACAGATATTTGTAGATCGTTGCATCCATTTAATTACGATAACAATTGTTATGGCTATAGGTACTCCATAGTGATTACGTGACGATTGAAATAAAACCGGAATTGCAGGTATGTGTCTTTATTAAGTGTGATTACGATAGTACAACTTACCCGAAGCCCCTGTTGCGCAGCAATGTAAAAACAAAATGTACAAGTATAAACACAAAGCAAGATAGAAGTGTTTAGTAATAGTATGCGATGTTATGTAGTCCTGTTATATACACTTCCCCTAAGTTTGACAACAGGAAATTAAATACATGTATATTGGGACTATTTACTTAAAAAGATCCAGTCGTCCAGATTTCTATTCTAGACAATCAGTAATGTCCCCATATAATTGCTCATAAAACATCATGTATACCTAAGATACATCTTGAGACCAAATCATAAGCAAAATATCACAAATATATCGAGGAAATCAACAGGATAACCAACAGAACAAGCAACTTTCAGAATTGAACTCAATAAGTCGAAAACAATGTACTATGATTTTTGGTGATTTATCTATATTTAACCTCTTATTAGTAATAAATATGGCTTCTCTGAGCCAAAACAATCCGTTGAAAATGAAAGAGATAGCCATTCAGACTGGAACAAATTTGAGCGGGCTTTTTGAATTTTATTTTGAATTTCTACCGATGAAAGGGGAAATTCATGGCTAGGAACAATCGTCAAAATGATACTGTAAACGAATTAATTCAAGCCTAAGAATTTTTTAGTTGATAAACAAACTTTTTTAAATCAAATGACACGAAAAAACCAAGGGGTTACTCCATTTGTGTTTTAGGAGACCCGATCTCTTTGAGCCTGTCTACGTTTGGCAATTTCAACAAATGCATCAGTTGCAAACAGGTTTTTAATCGCAAATTAGTGTCAATAACATTTCTAAACTTGATACTTATACTGTACAGGTGTGTATTTCTAAAGGTTGAGATTCTTAATCAAGGATTGAGTATATGTTATACAATATGAGCTTACTATTTATAAATAGCGAAAATAAATGTTTCTTTTCCAAGTGTCTGATTTTAAATGTTTACATAATATGAGCATTGATACATTAAAAAAGTATCTTGGGTTCATTTTAATATCGTTGATGGAAAAAAACAATTTTACCTTTGGGTGTTAGGTACTAATGGCTTTAGATTGTCTCAAAAATACAAAATGGGAATTTATCAGAGAAAAGGGGTAAAGATTCTCTACGAGCATTATTTATATGTTTTATGATGCAATAAGTAGGTAGAACAAATAGACTAGGGGTCGAGAGGATTTTTGCTCTTTAGATAGTCAAGTGAAAATCTGTCAAAATATGATGGTTCTAGGGGGTTATTTTCCGGTGAAGTCACGCTATGTTTTACATAATTTTGAAACCACAATAATGCTGCTTCGATTTGAAATGAAAATCTCTTTTAAGTAACAGGTAAGCTTTTTTCCTTGTCATTTATTTGCAAAAAATAATACATTCTTTTTTAGGCTCATGACCTTTATTTGAACCATTTTTCCGGGGAGTCTTTCAGCGATAAATATCACAAATCTTTTATTTTTTGATTTTTTTCCAAGAAACTAAGCTAGAGGGCATAATTTGGGAATTATCTGTCAATAGCTTATGACGTATATGTCATGATGATATAATGATTACTGAATGGCTTATGATAAGCGAACCTGTTGATTAATCAAAAAAGCTGTTGAAATTGACGAGGATGTACTTTAACAATGATGTGTATAATGCAAAGAGTTATTTGAGGCGTGTAATAAAGAATAAAGAAGAAGAACAACTATTTTCATAATATAAAGATCTCAGCTAGGATTCATTAAAACCAAGTATGAATATGGGGTTATTTTAACATTAAAAGTTTAAAACCGCCAACAGTGGCAGTTTAGAAAAAAAACTTAGATGTATCCTGGTCCACTTGAGCATATAATAAAATAAAGTATAAAACATAGTGAAGCAATAAAGTGAAGATAAATTGTGCCATCTTAATGTGTCATTAATTGTGCCATTTAAACATGTAATCTAGGGTTTCAGTAAAGCTACGTTCACACCAACGGCGAATGCCACGCTTCAAATCGGCGAGCAAGGCGCTTTAAAGGGACTTGTAAAGCGGCACCAAAGCGTAACAAAGCTTGATTAAGCGTCTGGGTCGTAGTAGGTCGTAGAAAAGCTCGAAGTAAAGCGAGATGTTCGGCAAGAGCGCCAAAAATTGTTAAACTGTTACGAATTGGTTAAAGCGCCGAGAGAAAGCTTAACAAACCGTAACAAAGTTCAGCAAAGCTTGACCCAAAGCGTAGGAAAGCTTCACAGAGCTTGGTTCAAAGCGGGGACCCCAGTCTCTTCACGGTATGTTACCACTTGACACGCTTCGTTTAGATGTCTCAAGCTTTGCTACGATCTGGCATGAAGATCTGACACGATTTTAATCAAGGATTGAAACGCTTTGTTAAGCTTTGTTACGCTTGACAAGCTTCCTCACGCTTTCTCACGCTCTTTCACGCCGTACGACAAACATCATGTTTTCTTCAGATAGGTCATGATCTGGTCCATCTGTAAATTCTGGATCTTGTTGTTCTGCCATCGTCTTCTCGAGTCACAGATGCAATGGTTTTATGGATCTACTGCATCTGTATACAGCCATTTGATCAAAAGCGTCATGGTAAAGGCGATCTCTAAAATGCACAACATAGCTTGGCAATCGTATCAGAGCCTGATTAAAGCGTCATAATCGCACCAAAGCGTAATAATGCTTACCAAAGCTTATCAAAGCCTGATGTTAAGCGTAACAAAGCCTGGGTCGAAGCGGGATCATAGCGTGAGGAACCGTAACAAGTCGGGAAATCAGAGCGTATCAGAGCTTATTAGAGCGTAACATTACTTAGGAGATCGTGATATTTTTAGAAAAGTAAACATAAATGACAGCGCTTTGCTCGCCGATTTAGATCGTGGCATTCGCCATTGGTGTGAAAGTAGCTTTAAAATGTTTGGCGCTCTTGCCGAATATCCCGCGTTACTCCGAACTTTTCTACGACCTATAACGACCCAAACGCTTTAATCAAGCTTTGTTACGCTTTGGTGCCGCTTTACAAGCCGCTTTAAAGCGCCATCAAAGCGCCGTTGGTGTGAACGTAGCTTTATTTATACTTTGGCCCTACATATTTCCTCATCAGTAATTCTGAGTCGTCGGAAAGAAGGACTATTAAACAAAATTGCAATTGTTGAAATTTCGTTTTGAGATGAATTGTGCCATCATTTATTCAGGCAGGTCATCTAGTGTTTTAGCAGTGAATGCTGTGGCCATACATATTTTCCAATCAGCAATTCTACAGGGTGACCGGAAAAAGGAGACCATTGAAGTAGGCAAAATCTCCTAAACAAGACAAGTAACATCAATGGAATCTTACACAAATCAGGACAGTTCTATGAAAATTTGTTCCTGAAAGTTTCAATACAAGCAGTCAACTGGTTCAGGAGCTGTGATCATTTACATTACGTGCTCCAATTTGCCACAATCGAGAGCAAGGCAGAAATGGATTCATATGACAGGATACCCTTACATATTCAGGATATACACTCCCCTATATAAGTTTGACCACCTTAGCTCCCACATATATGTTAAAGCCTCTTTACGCTTGAATTTTTATTACCTACCCTGCAATGAAATTACGTATAATATTGATGGAAACGTTACTTAACTTTACTTTCAATACCACCAAATTTTTCCAATTTTTTTCCTTAAGTACAATAGGTCAAAAATTGTACACCAAGTATTTAGTTTACTTGCTGAATACTACTTACAGTGCTTCAAAGTATTTTTTGAAAATCATTTTCCCCTCCTTAGTTATTTCAATGGAGGAGATTTTTTGAAATCAATTTTGACTTTAAAGATTCGAACGTAAAGAGGCTTTAACACGTACATATGTAATTCAATGGGGGAGTTAAGGAGGTCAAACGTATGGAGGGGAGTGGATGGCACATCAAACAAATTTTAGCTCAATATCTTTTGTGAAATCTGCCTAAGAAAACATGATACGGAATACTATAAGTTATACCCCGCAAGACGATCCAAATGATACACAAAACCCATAAATTCTTTAGAATGGAAGAGTTCTGATTATAACACGAGCCATTCAGAAAGAATGTCACGGTGCACAATTTACACATCATTAATAAAAATTGTGTGCTTAGGATTAGTTAGATTGTAATTGCTGAAGTTACATTACAACCCTGCAAATTTACCTTTCGTCTTAATTAGCGGAATCAAATAGAATTGAATCGGACACTGTATGAACTGCATGCGATGAATTGAATCGGAAGCATTGTCGTCTGCGTAGCATTCAGGTGCATTATGGGTAAAAATTGCATGCAATGACATCATTTATCATGCACCTAATGAGAGCTACGTTGAAACAAACACGAACTTTGCAAATTCACTTGATTCAGATTTGCCGATTATCAAACAGGTGACTAAGTAGTGTTTTATCGACATCTAGAATCTTGTCTGTAATTGAATAAAATAATATGAGAGCTATTCCCAGTGGTAGCGAGGATGATAAGGAAGAAACCCTGGTGGAGCTGAAAGAGTATTTTACAGGTAGCAGTCCCTTTGTGGGTGCCAAGACGAAGCATACGTCGAAGTTAATTATATCCGCGAGTGCAATTGTGAAGGCAATATAAATCAAGAAAAACAACAAAAATGCAATTTTAATTAAATCTCATACAATTATCCTGGATAAGGTTTTGTTTTAAAGCTGATAAATGTAAATTTACAATTGGTAATCAGTAGACTGTCTAAATGTCTCCCAGTGATAAATATTGGTTGCCATGAAAACATACAGATTATATAGACCAAGGAAATGGAGCAATCCTCTTTGTTTAACTTCTCCTCTGATTTATTTAATTGTGATATTGGTAGAGATGAACTCAACTTACTTATGTAAACTGTTTTAGGCATTTGGACAACACTAACGAGAACCCCACGATCGATTTGAGAGCCATTTCAATTAGCGTCTAAAAGGTCGTATATGACAATGGTCCCATCGTTGTTAAACTTCACTGACATTAATTGACTTCGAGGTTAATATCCTGTAAATATGGAATTGATCTTCATATCTTTTTTGTTTGCCATATTTAAAGAATAGTTGTAATAGATGCATTTCAATTAGCGTGTAAAAAGTTGCACATACGACAATGGTGTCGTGGTTGTTTAAATTACAGGATTCAGATTGAGTTAGAGGTTAATAGCATGTTGGCATGACATTGTACTTCATATATTTTTGTTTTACATATTTTAAAGAATTGTTCCCATTGAAATATGCCTTATAATTAGCTAACCAATTAAGAACTACAAATGGATATATCGAAACATGTTCCTATCTTAATGTATTTTTGAGATACAATAAAACAAACTTAAGTTTTTCAAATCCATTTGCACCTATTATTTCTGTCTGCTATATTCAGATTTTTTGAATGACACTCGCTGTTTTTTTTAACAGATCGTGGTCATTCTGTTAAGTGTGATAAACAATATTTGGACTTGAAAACCTTTGTAAATTATGTTGACGCCCATTTTATTGAACATGCCTCTCTATTTCACCGATATTGCAGAAGGTTGGTAACCTCAAACAAAATTTAAATCAAAGCAAAGTTCTCTATACGTTGTTTAATGGCCGGTTATTTGATTTTTTAAACCAATCCGATAAGAGATAAATCAATCTATAATCTGATTGTTACTTATCCGTAATCTGATTGGACAGGTACTTATATGTTGCACAAACCAGATTATATATAAATAAATTTGTCATCTGACTGTTTCTTATCTGTTATCTGATTTGAGAGTTAGTTATATATTAAACCAATCAGATTATAGCTGAATTTATCTGTAATCTGATTGGACAGTCACTTGTTTTGTTGAACCAATAAGATTACATCTCTAATTACAGTGTATATAATTTGTTTGTACAGTTTCTTCGCACCAAACAGATTACAGCTGTTGTCTACAAGTAATAAGTTCCAATTCAACTGTCAACTTGGAAAGTCTCAGTTCATATGTACGTCACTTACCATTCTTTTTAGTCTATCTAAAGAAACGCCTCTTGAATTCCGCACTGGGGTGCTGTACTGGCCGTTGAAATAGGCTAAAAGAGAAAGGACAAATTGATTATATACTAAAAAAAATTAAGATGCTTAACCCAAATAGCATTAAGACAAGACTGAACATTTATAAGCCTTATGGCAATATGTTTTCTTCTTTTCATATATACTTCATGATAGTTTTGGATATTGAACTAAAAGCACTTCATTTTCAGAATCGTGGAAATGATTTAAGGTCTAATTTTATTTTTTGTTCGATAAAAATAATTTTAAATGCTATAGTATAATTGCTTATAAACCGTGAAAATAAAAAAAATGCTAGGGCTTTCCAATTTATTTCTGCAATTGACATATTTTCTATATTGATTCTTAATCCATATTAGATACTCTGCGTAAAAGTTAATCTCTATAGTACTTAAGTATTTATATCAAACTAAATTTGCACTTCTCATATAAGATCAAATCAGAGATGATTCCGAACATCTAATTGAAAAGCCATCTAAATACACATGGATTCCATTGTCATAGAATTCCTACTGTTATTTTCCCTTGACATTTATCTATTCCCGAGACAGACTCGGGAACCTTGGGGATTAAGAATGATAACACAACAATATAATTACAAATATCATAATACCCAAGTATGAGACTAAATAAATTTGCCAATCTAGATTTTATCACCACAGACCTACAGTGGCGGATCCAGGGAACCATACCCCCCCCCCCCTCCCCTTGGAAGGGCCAAGAAAAAAATAAGGCTCAAAGATTTTGTAGGGTCTCGATTAGTGGCCGGTCTTTTGGGGCATTACTTGGCCTTTAGGCCATATTGCCAAAAATTGGCCTTAAATTTTAAAATGTTGGCCAAATTTAGGGGCCCGGAAACTGAACAGTTTTCGGGGATTTGAAATCTGCCCCCCCCCCCCCTTGTTAGCTTCTGGATCCGCCAGTGAACCAGATCAATAGTATATGCCCATGTTTGAAGCCATATGTATATGTATATATACACATGTATACCCCCTTTGATAAGTTTTCACCAAGCTAAAGTGTTTTTATTGATTTAAGTGTTAAAGTTACACATATCGTAATACCAAAATATGAGGGCAAATACAAGTTTACCCCATTCAGTAGTCTAGAACTACAACCCCCTCTGACACAGTTGTTAGGGTAAGATATCCCAGGGTTTTGAAGCAGGACTACCGTTATATTGAGCAACGTGTAATCGTTACATGACAAGGTGATATACTACCCTGCGTGCAGAGTCTAGTTAAACTAAAGACGAAGCTCTCTTTTTAAGAAGTGAAGTCAAACGAATGCAAAGGGTAGTGATATACATAATCTCCGTGAGTTTTGTAACCTATATCCCCCCGATTGAGTTACCCGACCGAACCTTTGTGTGCTTCATTCAACTGCAAAGGCGCCAAAGGCAAAGGATCAAACTTGGTAAAGAAAAATGGTAGGAAAAATACAACATCCAGCAAACAAATGCTTTTATGATTTTGCATTGTCCAATGTCTGATCAAGATAAGTTGATAAACCGTTTAATTCACGAACGAGACGAAGCGGACAAATTATGACATTATAACGTGTCGAACAATTAAAAGCCATCAAAACAGGTGAACGTTTTTACAGCCTCTGAACCGTGCAATTAGACTAATATTCCCACCAATATCTTAATATAGTAATAATCAACCGTATAGTACTTGACAGTTCAAACCCTTATTTTCTGGTTCAATAATAGTACTACATGGCTTAAACAGACCTTTTGAGTATAAGGAACAATCAAAATTTCATTTTGGAAGATATGTATTGAAAGAAAACATCTAAGAACAAGACAGCAAAAAACTCCAACTATATCCAAACAATGATCTAACGTGAAAATAAACAATAATGTATATAAATCTAAGCTAATATATTTGAACATGTACACACGAGTATCATTGGTTTTAATCAACCGTATAGCAGTTGACAGTTCAAAACGATTTCTTCTGGTTCATTAATAGTACATCATGTCTTAAACAGACCTACTGAATATGAAGTACAAGCAAATATGTTTAATTTTAGAAAAGACGATCGGTGTCAACATAAAGGGGGATGATTCCAAGATCAATGCCATTTGTAATCGCAACGATTAATCCATCAAAGGTTCATGCTATCTGAATCTCAAATTAACCATTAACGGGTAATCCATCCGCATCTGATTCAACACAAAATACATTAAGATTAACATGATATGTTTTCATAGCAACATCTTCGGATGTTTTTTAACCACCCAGGGAAAAGGAAGAGAGCTGATGAGGATGGACGGCCGTGACGGGAAATTACGACATGTGGGTGTCGTTTTCCATATTCACAGAGACAGTGTCAATGAAAGAATGGTATAGCGGAAAATCCAAATTAAGTAATACAAATAAGTTATGCAAAACTGATAAAAACTAGTAATACAAATGCTAAATAAACAAGAGAATGCGCTTCTGTCGAAATATAGAGAACTTAATTGATTCAACTGAGATGAAATATAACCAACGTTAATAAGATTTGTGTGTCTGACCTCGTTTTGAGCCCATTACTTTTTCCCTTTGGTGTCGTTTTTTTATTTGACAAATCGAGCGAAAAAAAAGAATTGTGTTTTGACATCTGCTGGATTACTCCTTTGTCGATTTGGACTTTTGTCTCTGTGAGTTTGTCGCCAAGTTATTTTGATAATACGAATTGACAAATGCAAGTCGCAGATGGCCCTACCACCCCCCGCGTCTGGAAATTGAAAGGGGCATTATCTTGAATTTGGATATCACCATTGCCATAAGAAAACCCTCATTTATACCCTTAGGTCCTAGTTACATGAAATGGAAAGTATAATGTAGATTAAGGTGATTAAGGTATTTTGCCATAGTAAAGCAAATATGTCCGAAGACAACAGGTACAGTTCCCGCGATAGAGGTATTCATTAACCATCCGTTTGTTTTTATTGAAGGCTAAACTACATTCGTTATTTATCTTATCATTCTCCCAGGCACTTGAATTGTTTAATCAAGTTTTAAACGAACAGCAAGAGGGATGGGATCATCGTAGGATGATATCAAAGATATCTATAGGAAGTTAATCCAATTTCCTGAATTATTCTATTTCAAGATCAGTATTTGCTAATTATAGAAAACTGTTTTTGTGCAACGTGAGGAGATTATAAGTGACAAACCAGATTTCACAAAATGAGTTCAATTTCATATTTTGAATTCATTCAAACTTGTCTGGTCGTCCTAAATAAATTACTTTGGATAAATAGTTACGTCCAATGCTCACGTCTGGAGGTTCAATTACAGTTGTCTATGATATGTTCCTCTCGATGGACCTTTAATTGCAGTAAAGTATCCATTTTTCACACAAAGCAAGGCAAGGTGTATCCGATTCCAGCTAACCCGAATACAGTATTTCACATATAACTATATTATATCAATCACCCATCACCACCAGGCCCGTAGCCAGGGGGTTCGGGGGTTCTGGCGACCCCCCCCCCCCTGGCCAATTCTTTTTTCAATATCATGCAGTTTGTCACCATTCTGACTTTTTTTGAGAGATTTCTGGCCAAATTTGCCAAAGTTAACCCCTTCCCCCCTAGAACTTTTTGGAGAAGTGACCCCCCCCCCCTTGGGAAATTCTGGCTACGAGCCTGCCACATTCAAAGTCTCTTGTTAAACAGTTGTCAAGATGATATCTTGACTCTTAAGATTGAAATTGATTCTTTGCCAACTTGACCCTTGCAAAACATTTCATTGAAAATATGTTCTCTTAGTGATTTTGTATTTTTTAGATGATTTCGTGAATATAGTTTGCAATGTGTGAAAAAATTCCCGCTGCGGGGTCATGCAAAGATTTGGAAACAACAACGTCACTATTATAGATAATTCACACATAACTAGGTAAGGTGTGTATAATTCCAGCCAATCTGAACGCAGTATTTTTGATTGACAGGAGTGTGTGAAATATCAATAATGCATGTGTTTTTGTATAGTTGCTAAGTGACTACATGAAATTGATGTTTTGTTGCAAAAGGTGTCATTAGAAATCTGTTCTTTTAGTGATTTTGTATCTTTTAGGTGGTTTTGTAGGAAATATTTTGTAATGTGTGAAAAGAATTTAAGTCCAAGACTCAAAGCATCGTGGCTGCTCCATTCCACTCAGATGTTATTCCTTAAACTGTACATTCCCCCTGCGTGATCATGCACAGATTTAGAAAGAACATATTTGATGGAATGGTCAGCACACAACGCATTACTTTTTTCGCTTTATGTTTACCATAAAAAAAACTTATAATATATTTTGCAATTGCTAAGATCTAATTTCATCATATTTTGGTTTAGTAATTTGGTATACTCATTGCTTAGCCGAATAGATATAACAATGACAATAAAAAGCCTACATAAAAAACAATATTAGACATATTTATCCTCAATTTGTAAAGATGCCTCTAATAAATATGACAAATACTCGTATATTGAAATGTGTTAATCCTAGATTAGTATTGGATTAGGTAAATTAACTCGTAGACTCAGCTACGTTATCTACGTATAGTCTGTCAACACCAGCTTTTCTATATAGTTTTTGCACTGGTGTCACGTAAAATTACAATATAAAATAGGTGATTTTAAAGTTGAAATTACCCCATGTAAATAGTAATGAGGTATACCGTAGAAGCCACACGGTACTCATATTACGTTACTAAAATGATATAATAGAAGCGTTTCGCACTACGGGTTATAGTTAAAAAGTATCCGCAAACTATCCGGTGAAGGCGTTACGGAATTTAAATCCGTTAATATGTTTTTTGGGCTATATGGGGTTTGTTTTTCTTGACTGGTATGCACTTAGAGTTTGCTTTTTCTTGCTAAGTTCCATTACAACTTTTGGTCCTTTCCCTTTGGTACTAGTGCCTTTATATTTAAGCTGAAAAACGTCGAGCAGAACGTCTCCATCATACAGATACCGCATGGTATCACATTACTAAAATTACCAATAGTATAGGGTAAGTTTACATGGCACGGGTTTTCTT